ATGGCCACATCCCCGAGAAGGAAAGCGAAAGGTCAAGTCATCAATGGCTGTCTTCTACCGGGAATCCTGGCCTCTTGAGAAGGTGAAAGTTACTGTTGGTCCGCACTGTTACTGGGTATCAAAGATCCTCCTTGAAGACCCAGCAGTAGCCCATCCGGAAGTCTCCAGGTCTGAGCCTGCCTGCTCTCTGCTGCCATCCAGAGGGTGCATGGGGGAAGATCACGTGGGAAGTCTGACCCCCAGGCTCTCACACGAGGGCCCCCAAAGGCGGCATCATCTGCGCGGAGTTCTTGGCTGTCCCAAGGAGCTCTGGGTGAACAAGTCCCCGTGTTCTGATGCACGCTCCAGCCAGAGAAGAAGAAGTTTAAACTATGTAAAAACTTACACCCTGGGGTGCCTGAGACAGACTGAGATCTTTCTTAGGAGAAACTGGTTCTCACGGGTGACCGGGGATCTTCCCTTGTAAAGAACAAAATTTCACCAGCCACAAAACCCATTTCCTTCTCAGAAAGGACAAATGAGTACGAAACCCAACCCCTCCGCTCTCTATCCAGCATCTCCTGCTGGCGGACGTTCGTGGCACCCCGTCGCTGACAGTGGCAGTCAAGGCCCTTGAAATCATAGCTCTGGGCTGTTCACCCTGTCACCACCAACCGCTCTCCCGCTTCTTCCTTCCTGGGTTCCAGATCTGACTCTGAGTTCAGGTTTCACCCCCGTGTCAGTTCTGTTCCTCCCACCAAAGATACACCACTTGATAAAATTAAAATTTCAAAATAAGGGCCGGGGATTGAACTCAGTGGTTCCGCCCCCTGCCTCGAAAGAGCAAGGTCCCGAGTTCGATCTCAGGTACCAAATAAATGAATGAATAAATAAAAATAAAAAATTATAACTATCTCACCCATTTTAAGCTCTCTCGAGCGCCATTTTCGCTGGTTGCTCCAGTCAACAGCGACCATTCCCATCCTGAAACTCTGTCACCTTTCGTCTGCACCTCATTTTTATTGCTTTCAGTGTTGCCCCTTGCTTAGTTCTAAATGGATCTGCGTTCAGGGACCAAGTCTTACTTGGCAAATGAATCGCATCATAAACACAAGGATTAAAGAATCTAAGGGAAACTTTGCAACAGAAGCCGTGCAGGGTGATCTGGGAACAAAAGGCGATCTGGGCAAGGCTGGGACGACGCATGGTGCTCCGCCCCAGCCTGCTTTGGGCCCTCCCAGCCCAGCCCCAAGCATCTGCTGTTCCGGATGTGGGCTGGAAGAGGCCGACATCTCCCCCTGCTGGCGACTGCGGCGGCAGGCAGCTCTGAGTCAGCCCCACCTGGGGACCAGGAGCCGGCAAGAAACCCCACTCCTGCGGCAGCCGGTGACACCTGCATCACAATGCCGCCCCTCACTGAGAGCCCGAGCCAAATCATAGCCATTTCCGGAAGATGAAGCCGGCGTTGTAGGGCTCTCCCCCAGGCCGCTGCCCGCAGTCCCTGTCCTCCGCTGCTTTCCCCCCAGAGTGCCAGTGCTCTGGTGGTTACAGCCGCTGTAGATCTGCCTAGCAGGGACGCATTCCAGGCTGGCATCAAACTGGGGCGAAGTTCAAAAGAGAGGCTGAAAGGGCTGCGGGAGCCGAGTATGGGGTCCGGAGCTCCCTGGGAAAGATATCTGAGGTGCAGGCTAATCTGCCAAATGGAGCAGGAGACATCAGAGGATGCCGCACCGGGCAGCCCAGGGCCAATTTGACAGCCTAGGCTTCACACAGTCAGGGTCCGGGGGTGTGAGGCCTTCTGAGGGGCCTGGCTTGGACAGCTCTCACCTCCTTGGTGGGGCTCCCTCCTGTCCCTGAGCTTGCAGTCACCGGAAAGAGACTTAGCAGACAGCCTTCCTTTGTGAGGCCCAGGATCTGGGTCTACTTCTGTTGAGCAGTCCCAGAGCAGGTTCCTGTATTGTAGAGCAGGCAGGAACCTTGTGAGGGCTCCCGCACATACCCTGCCATCCTGTGCAAATCCATCCAGGGGGCCTTTATTTACTTTTCTGAGTGTCCGGTAGAGCACTTCTAAATTCCAGGGCTAAGATGAAACACTGAGAAGCCAGCTTGGAGGAAAAGTGCTAGAAGCAGTGGGCACCTTTAACAGACTGGAGAAACTGGGGCAGGATAGGAACTGTTTACTCTGTTGTACTATTTGCTACTTAAACTGGGAGCGGTGAGACATACGGTAAACCCAGCACTCGGGAGGCTGAGACAGGAGTATTGCAGAGTTTGAGGCCAGCCTGGGCTGCATGATGAGTTCAAGGCCAGCCTGGACTACATAGCAAGGCCCTGTCTTATAAATTCAAAAAACTTGTATTCTACTTTCAAAGCACACGAGACCTAAATATATTAAAAGTACAAGAATAGATAAGTCACAAAATTTTATTTTATCTTAAACTTTTATTTAAATTTTATTTTGCCTTAAAACCTCACCAACAATATAAAAATTTAGCAACATAAAAACTATCCTGATGGCTTGCTCTGCGGTGCCCTCCCCTGCCGGCGTTGTTTTGTTCTGTCATCTTCAGCACCGAGGGCCTGCTCTGCCGCACCCTCCCCTGCAGGCTCCGTTGCCATCTCCAGCACCAGAAAGGTAGCCGCGCGGGCGCCCCTGAACCCCCACAAACCCCTCCTCGCACTTTTAGACCTCCTGATTGTGCCCGTCTTTAGACCTACTCTGTAGAGGCAGAGGTGGTCATAAAGGGTATTTTCCGGTGCTTTCAACTTTGAACATCTTTAAAGAAGGGGTGGGGAAAACCTGTAGTAGAACTGAGTGGAGCTCAGCCTTTCAGGAGGTCGGGGAACTCAGTCTGGGCCTTGCAGCTGAACGTCAGTCTGCGTCGTGGGGCTCTGCCACCAGCTAGCTGAGGTCAGGGGACTCGGCTCTGCACATGGCAGCGCATATTATGTATATTATGACCTGTAGTGATATAGTCTGAAAGAGTCCCTTCAAACTCATTATTTTTCTTTTTTTTTATTCCACTCTGCGGATTTTTTTTTCCTGTCCTCTTTCTCCAGCTCAGTCTCTTACTCCATTATATTATCCCTCATTTCCCTTTCTGTTTCTGCTCCCGTCCTAACTTAGATTTCTTCTTTTATTATTTTTTTCTCTTTTCTTATGTCATTCTACCTCACTCAAGGGTTATTATACTTCTATTTTGTTTGTCCCTTTTGAGTTTAACAGTTTCCTGACAATTGTCTGGTCATTCTCCGTCTTCTGGCTTCATATGAAACCCTCTTAATTCTTTTACTTATCTACTCCTCTCGTCTTAACTCTGTCTTAATCCCCCATTCTTAATGGTAAATATCCTTATTAATTTACTTTTTTTTTTTCTTTTGGTACTGGGGATCGAACTCAGATCCTTGCGCTTGCAAGGCAGGCAGCGGAACCACTGAGCTAAATCCCCGGCCCGTAAATATCCTTATTGAAAAGTTTATTCACTGTAAGCATATTTTGGATTGCTTCTTGATTTTAATTTAATTCACATGGTTTGAAGGTGATAGACTGATGACTATCACAAGTGGTTAATTTGCAAGCTGTGCTTGATCATATTGTGGTGCTGATTGTATCGATTAGGATAAAGGATTGTGATTGATTTAATGAGCTGTTTTCTTAGTATTATGAAAATGAGAATGTCTATGAGTCATTAGAGACCCATGGGCTGAAGCCCAACTCAGCAAACACCCCAATCTTTCCTTCCCTCATAGAGTCTTGGGCCCTTCAGCATTGTATTTAGCAGGTCAGAGAACAGAACCTAGGTGGGCTCATTGCTCTTCAAACCTTGACATTCCTGGATTTTCAGCTGTTCAGTCTCTGATAGGAACTTCCTGTCGAGTTATGTTCCTCTATACGAATATTTACAACAACAACAACAAAACTTCCAGGGACAGTCTTCCAGCAAAGATGGGCTCTTTGTTAATATCCGCTAATATCTGTAAGGTCTGAGAAGAATGCACAGACTGTGGGGGAAGTGAGGTGTGGCCCCGGAGGAGGGGACTTTTTCTGCTGTTCTGGGCCTCCTGAGCACATGCTGTCGGCCCAAGGGGCAAGTGTCCCTCAGAATCTTACTTCTATTCAGGCGAAGTTGGCAGGGAGGCCAAATGCAAAATGAAAAATACAGCTTTAAAAAGCCACTGATACCAGAAAGGGTGACTTTCCCTATGATTTATAAAATGATGCCTCCATATAGCTGACTTATAAAGAAATCAAACAAAATGCATGCAGAGACTTTGAGCACTTACTCCAAGTAGAACACCTCATTTGCATTTGGGATGTACTGTCCACTTAGAGAGGAACCAGAGGCTGCAGGAGCTGGAAGAGGAGCCCCTTTATACTGAAGGGGCACAGGCAGGGCTCTGGGCAGGAATCAGTGGCCAACTTCGGTTGCCCAAGGGGCTTCACAGAAATCACTCAAGTCCCCAAAATGCTGCAGGGTGAAGTGGAGAAATGCCCCCATCTCCACCTGCAACCTGACCAGAACGGTCACCAAGGAAACGCACACAGATCGGCCTCCCACAGTGCAGGTGGAGGGTGGGTCTGAGGACAAAAGGAATGGTCCGTGTGCACCCCTCCTTGTTGGGAAAGTGCTTCCGTTTCCTGGAAAATGGAGCCTGTGGTGCCTGCTGTGAGAGTGAGCAAGACTGAAAGCTGTGCCTTCAGGAGAACCCACAGCAGGGAGGTTAGAAAAAGGAATACACAGGGGTGCTTGTTTAGAGTGATACTAACACCAGTGCGCCCCACTTTGCCCTTTTCTGGAATGGGTTTTTCAGGACTTTTCAACCATCCAGGCCCGTCCTTTCTCTCAAGATTCATTGCTGACCGCTCCCCACCCGCCTGTTTAGAAACTGGGCATAGGGCTGGAAACACCAAGTTCTACTTCCTGTAGTAGTTCCCAGCCATTCACCTTGGCAGTTTCTCGGAGGACACGGAACCAAGCTCTGGAGAAAACGAAGGAGTGAAAACAACGGGAAAGTTGAGATTCCAGTTGGGTGACACTTTATTGAAAAGAAATCTTGCTGTATCCAGGAATTCACTTACATGGAGGTAGCCACAAGAAGAACGCCTTTTCCCCACGATACCCAGACCTTCTGCTGAAGCAAGACCCAGCAGAGTATGTGAACAGGTATGGTCGGATGACACTCTGAAGCAGGGAAATGGTGAGAGATATTTGATGATTGTCTCGTCAGCATTGCATTTGGCCATATATTTTCTACATTTTTTTGCTTATTACCCTAGCTAAAGAAAATACTCTTGAGCAAGAGTTAGCTCTTAAAGCAATAGAGAAAAATAGGTGTGTGTGTGTGTGTGTGTGTGTGTGTGTGTGTGTGATCAAAGAATGGCTGCAAGTTCAAGCTGGGAAGGACCCAGGACCCTCATGTTCCTCTCACCCAGGCCAACATCCCGTCAAGACAATGGATGGGAGATGAGCCAGGGCCCAAAACACCTCTCCAAACCCTGGTGCAGGGCTCTTCCCACCCCACTATACTGCAGGCTTCTGGCTGCTGCCAACTGCACCGTAGTGCGGGACCATTGTTAACATCTTCCTAGCACAGACGGCATTTTCAGCGTCTCCTTCTAGGGTAACACTGTAAGCATTTCAACAGTGTCCTCTGTCTCTATTCAGCGGCCTTTTGCTTCTGACGGCCACCAGGAAGAACAGGTTGAGAATGAGACACACACTTTTTCTTCAAGCAGACCAGATGCTCCTTCCCCCAGTTCTGGGGTTTGCTGAGCTCTTTCCTATGCTCTAGTTACCCACGTCCGAGGCCCTTGCAGGCTGGCTTCCGGAGAGGTGTTTGGCTATGTGGGAGCAACGGGGAAATGAAATACGCACCAAGGGTCCAAGGACCCCTGTGACTGTCACATCCCCAAGAGGGCAGAGGGCTTGGGGCTGGGTTCTGCGGTGCTCAGCCCTGTGTCAGCTTGGTTAAATATTTATTGCCCGTCACCCCCTCCGCTGACTGAGCTCGAGGAGGACCGTTTTTTACCCATATATTTATTCACTGCTGCCTCAGCGCCAATGGCTGTGCCTGGAAGCACAGGGGACCAACAGAACTACTACATGAATGAATGGCTAAGGGAAGGCTTGCTCCACACCCTAGGAGTGAGCCGGGGCCACAGCCACCGCTAGGTGTCGTAGGACACAGTGACCCAGGTAGTAGCGAGGACGGCTTTGCTCTCTGGCTCCAGGTGCCTGTCATTTCTGCAGGCTGGTGCCTCTGTATCCTGTTAAGCAGCCCTGGGACCCTAAGGTAAGTGGGACCCCATGCCGATTGTCATGGACTTCTGTGGCCCACAGGCCTCCTACCTACTAGGATTTGAAGAGACACTGCAGAAACCATCTTGGCCCCACTGCTAGCTCCCAGGGCCCTCTTCCTGGCCGCTTCCCTCCTGCCCTGCACCGTGTGGGTGTGTGGGGTACCTTGCGTCTTCCCAAGGCCACCCTCCTTGTAATTCCACTCCAGGGCTGTGCCTGACCCTTTCTGTGTCCCCTTGTGCCCAGAAGTTGGAAGGAGATTACCCCACTCTCCCCCACCTCCCACTCTTCCTTCTCCAGTATCAATCCAGCTCCAACTCTGCCCACCTTTGATCTACACATCCCCAGCTCTCAAGGACTGTTCTATCTACCTTCTCACGCTAGCCCCACACCCACACCTGCTGCTCACCTCCTTTCCCCTCTCCCTTTCCCCGTGACCTTACTCAACACCTCCTTTATCAGCAACAGTGGTTTACCCAGGTTACCTGAGCACCTGACCCTAGAATAGGTCACTGCGATTTCTTTTTTTCCAACTCTGATTTCCAAACTGGCCTATAGTCTACTTTGTCTCTCACCTCTAATTTTGAATAAAGCCTAGTAGCTTTGGGTTTTAAAAAAGAATACTAGGTATAGGTTTGTGAGCTTTACAGAGGCTGTGGAATGTTCTGAAATGGGACAACAGCAGTCCGGGTGAAGGTGTGGTTTTACCGCATGTACATCATTCCCTTCCCTGCGCTTGGCTCTAAAATAGTGTGTGGCACTTTGGACGCTGTCTCTTGGCAGGAGGAGGCACAGATGTGTAGAACACGGCCTTCATCATACCAAGGCACATTTCCACAAAGGGGCCAGCAGGTGGTGGCTCTGCTGCCTTGTTCTAAACCAGTGGCTCCCGGTGGAAGACGCTGGAGACACCAGGGAGGGCTGTGAGCTTGAGAACTGTGTTGGGGCAGCCAGGGCCCCCACGCTCCTCTCCTCCTGCTGCCTCCTGCTGGCCAGCTGCAGAGTCCTGGCAGGAGCCAGGGGAGGGGGTTAGATCTGGCTGACCACAGCACTGTCCCTAGGGAAGGCGAAGCTCAGCGGTGCTTCATAGAGGCTCCCGCCGTCCGTGCTGAGGTCGTCATCATCCATGTCATCCAGAACTTTACTCGGCAGCTTCCTGAGTCTGCAGAGACAACACAGGCATGGTTCCCGGGCTGGGCTCCTCTCTGATGTGGGATGGACAGGGTCTTGGGTTCCTGGCCTCCATCCCACTAGGTGCCTAGGACACATTCACTTAACTGAATCCTTCAGCTCAGCAAGGTGGCGTTGACAGCCTGGACCAAGCTCAGCATTACTGATTGCCGTTACTGCCCAAACTCCAAAATGGCTGGGCAGGGTCTTCATGCGATCTTAATTTAAAATTTGAATATCTATTCTCCAAGGGTTATCTACAATAATTTCTAAATTTGGCATTAAATTCATGTTGGACTAAAATGTGATCTATTCTGATGCCCCTTAAAGGTCGCACCCTAACGCTGACCCTCGGGTCAGCTGCCCATGAAAGGTCCCGTGTGATAACATCCTCCATGGGCGGGAAATGCCTGTCCATCTGTAAGAGCACCACTTGGGCAACCAGCATGCTGCCCAGGCCACCAGCGGCCTCCTAGAAAGGCTGATTCCATGGGTGAGCGCAGGCCTGATCTCAACCCTCACCTCCTCGCCCCTGGCACTGGCTCTGGGGAGGGAAAGGAACCCATCCAGGCCCTGCAATCCCCTTGGGAGATAACAGTCCTCATGAGGATAAAAATTAGAACTTTCCTCCCTCAGGCAAAAGAAGCAGGGTCTGAGCAGCCTATCTGCTCTGATAGGCTCCCATTGTGTCCGCAAAGACAATCACTGCCCAGCTGACTGCTGTAAAGATGGTGCACACGAGATTCAAGACCAAGCCACTTTCATCTCTAGGGTGGGCCAGGCCCATCAAACAGCAGGGAGGAACTGGCCTAAGATAGTGCTCTAAAAGCATCAAGCATTCCTCAAATGCTGAGGGTTAGGGGGGCCACCACCTTTGCTTACCTTAAGTCCTTCTTCAAGGAGTTGAGCTGCCCCTGCAGCTGCTCATTCACATCTATCTGCTCCTCCAGCTCCCTCTGCAGCTTCTTCTTAGAACTTTCCAGCCTGTCGATTTCCTCCTCAGCCTCTTCCACCTGCCGCTTCATTGCTTTCAAGCGCAAGCTCAGCTACAGCAGGAAAGAGGGCAGGCTGAGGGATACACCAGACCCAGCAGTGATGCCAGGGGCCCAGCCACCTTCTCCCTGGTGAACCAGTCTCATGGCTTTTTAAAGTCATGTTCAGCACTCGAGGGCTATGGAATCTCCCCATTCTGTGAGGAGAGTGGGTAAGCAGAGAGGAGGAAGTGGCCCGGCCTAACTCCTCTGCCAGCCTCCCTGCCAGCCTGCTACGGGACACAGAGACATCTCACCTGGTCCTTCTGATCTGTCAGGGACAGGTGCTCGTCATCCACCTGCATCACCAGCTCTTTCACCTTCCGCTCCAGCCTGCGGTTGCTGAGCTGCAGACTGGCACGGTCCCTGCAAGGTGGGGAGGCAGAGCACAGCATTCTCAGCCCTGCAGGAGGCTCTGGCTGCAAAGCAGGGGGCACCAGCCAGGGTACCTGGTCAACTCGAGCTTAGGGTAAGAGGAAAAAAACTATGCAGGAGGAAAGGTCAAAACACAGGCCTGGAGAAGGGAGTGACTTGTTAAGGCCACAGGGCCAACAAGGAGCTAAGCTGGACCAGAACTGTCTTGCGTTCATTCGTTTTAAGGCAGAATGGAAGACAGCCAGTGTTTCTACTCCAGTGTATGCCAGCATAATCCCCTATACGGCCTACGGAACACACATCCTATGAACATGTGTGACACCCTTGCAGAAGCTGAAGGGTCATGAATAAGACTGATCATGTTCACCCCAGTGCTGGTCCTCAGGCTGTATCTGACAGCTTTCTGCAGAGAATCTTGGGTTTGGAGAGGAGTGGCCACCTGGTCCCTTATCCTCCCACCCTCTGTGGGGGACCTGCCCCACTGCTGACAGGGGGCCAGAGGCCTCTGCCCCATGCAGCACCAGCTCATCTGAGAGGAAGAGAAAAGAGTGACGGTGAGGCCACACATGGTCCACTTCTCCCTGGGCTGCAAAGATGGGAAGGGACTCTCCACGTGTGAGCTTTCAGGGGGCGGCCATGCACACCTCTCCTCGCTCTCCAGACGGTCCTCCAGCTCCACGATCCGGGCCTCCATCTGCACCACCAGCCCTTCCTTGCTGGACCTGTAGGAGCCTTCCAGGTGCCCAATCCGGCTTTTCAAGTCCTTGTTCTGGAATCAGACGGAGACTGTGAGGGTGCTGTCTGTCTCGCACTCTGTGCAGAGCCAGGTCTGTGGATGTTGTCTGTGATAAGGCTGCTTCCACACCAGGGTGGAGTTTGGGGAGCCCAAGGATGGGTCGAGGCATACTCCAGATTCCGGTCCTAGCAGGCCCGTTCCTTTACAAGCCTGAACGAACTCTTTAGCCTGTCGGGGAGCCCCAGGCTTATGTACCGATTCAGTGAATGATTCTCTTTTGTGCTGTTTGTACTGGAACTCAACCCTCTCGGCCCTACTCCAAAGCCTGATAGAAAGAAGGGGGACCTCACAAGGGCGGTGCACTCACCTGTCTCTCCAGGGAAATCTTGTCACACTCCAAGTCTTGTCGCACAGCTCGCTCCTGAAGAAGTTCGTTCCTCATCTGCTCCATCTATAAGCACAGCAGAACCCCGAGGTCAGAGGGGTTGCTCCCACGCATCTGCCCCGCAGTGAGTCCGGGGCTGAGTTCCAACAACCAAGCCCAGTCGTCCTCAGTGAGACCCACCCAGAGGGGGCTCCTCGTACCATCTGTCCGGGTGCAGCAGGATATTTTTCTGAGATGTTCTTGGCTTCTTAATGATCGAAAAGATAGTGACACAAACGACAATCATCGTCACAGCTAACCCTGCAGGTACTGGTTAAACTGTGCCCTCAATATACACACACAAAAAGGATGCACTGATATCCTAACCCTCAGTACTCCCTGTGTGACCTGAATTAGAAACAGGGCTTTCATGGAGGCGGGCAAGTCAAAAAGAGGCATGAATGTGGCCTGATCCAGCCTGGCTTCTGTCCTCACAGGAAGTGGAAGTCCGGGTGCAAAATGGGCATGCGCAGAGGAAGCCACCATGGGAAGACAAGCACAGGGAGGGGAGGGAGACTGGAGTAACCCATGCACAGGCCGAGGGCACCAGAAACCATGGAGAGGCAAGGAAGGGCCCTCTCACGGTCTCTGCCGACACTGATTTCAGATTTCAGGCCTCCAGAGCCGAGAGACAGTAAGTTTCTGTGTCCTCAGCCTCCCGGTTTGCAGGACTCTGTTAGCCTCCATGCATGTTATCCTACTGCATTCCCAGAGCCACCCTCAGCAGGCACTGTGTTCCCTGCAGAGCTTGTCAGCCACTGGCGCACAGCAGGTAAGCGCCAAGTTTGCCCAGACTGAAAATGCTCGCAGGACAAGAAACTTTCAGTGCTAAGGCTGGGGAAGTCCCAGGAAAATCTGGATTTGTAAGTCACCCAATGGGCCTGAGAGGTACAGAACTGGAATGGGGGAGCGACACACTGTAGAAGGGCTCCTGGTGAGCGTTTCTCAGCCACTGCCACATTTCACTGTACTGCTGCAGGTCTGACAGGGACTCCAGGTGACAGAGGGTGTCTGTTGGCAGGAGAGAAGCCTCACCAGAGTCAATGTGTCTCTGCTCTTCAGTCCCAGGGCTCTGCAGGACTGAAACGAGTCAAAGCAAAGGCTGTGCCCATGTCCAGAACCAGCCTGCAGAGAGTGGCCTGAAAGCTGCCCCAGATTTCAGAGGGGTCGGCATAGGAAAACTACCCTTTCCTTCTCAAGGCTGGGTGAGAACTTCAGGGGTTCATTATGGCCAAGAGACGCACACAAAGTCCTAGATGCATTGGTGAGAATCTAAGCTGTTTCCAGAGGTTAACTATTGTGCATTATTGTGTTAGCAATGGCTGCAAGGAGTATCGTTTTTCAGCCTTATATTTTCAGTCTGTGTGTTTCTTTGTAGATAGGGTTTATTTCTTGTAGCCGACATATGATCAGGTTTTGGTTTTTATTCACCCATTCTGCCAGTCTATGTCTTTCAGTTGGAGAGTTAAGATAATTTACATTGAGTATTGCTACTGAAATGTATTTACTGGATTGTCTTTGTCATGACAAGTCTTAATTTTTCTGTTAAGTTTGAAGGATAATTTTGCAGGATAAAGTAATCTGCAATGGCAGTTATTTCTTTAAGATCTTGAAACACTTCAATCTCTCCTGTTGAGAAACCTGAAGTCATTCTGATGGGTTTACCTTTATAAGTTCTTTGGCCTTTTTCTGTATTTGTTTTTAGCATTCTGTATTTCTGAATTTCTGGGATTTTGATTGTGATGTATGGTGGAGGTTCTTTTTAGTCATGTTTTTTTGGAGCTCTAAATGCCTCATTTACCTGAGTATCCATTTCATCCCCTAGATTTGCAAATGTTTCTCCAGTGATCCAGTGAATAATTTTTTAAACTTTTAGTTTAATTTCCTAACCCTATCTTAACTCTTATAATTCATAGATTTGTTGTTTTAGAGTCGTGTCTTGGTTTTTTGAGTATCACTAAATGATCTGCTATCAGCCTTATCCTCAAGTCCTGTTATTCTCCTCTATGATTGGTTGTGCCTACTTCCAAAGCATTCTATGGAGTTTTTCATTTCCAGGATTGCTGTTTGAGTCCTGTCAATCATTATGGAAATCAGAATGGAGATTCCTCAAAAAAACTAAAACTAGAAATTTCATTTGACCCTCTCTGGGGAATTTTCTTCAGAGTCATAGTGTAGTGATACATGCATATCCATATTTAAAACAGCACGACACACAACAGCTAACCTCTGGAAACAGCCTAGATTCTCACCAACATACAAATGGACAAAGAAAATGTT